AAGTATTCTGTTAGTTATCAATAATTATCCTAATTATATTTTAGATTTTTTATATTTAAAATGAGATGTTTATCTAATATTTGATTATGTTTATCTGCAGTTAGTTAGACGAATTCAAGTATGGTACTTTAATAAGTTGTACTTATGCACCATTTACTTGTAATCTTAAACTTTAAGTAATATGCATCAATAAACAGTATGTGCATAAAAAATAATCGTTTTTACGAGTTTTTGTCAAATGTTTTATCATATAGTGTATATATATATATATATATAGAGAGAGAGAGAGAGAGAAAGAGAGAGAGGGGTTGGTTCAAATAGAAACCAACTTTTTTGCGCAAACTATGTGAACCGATACCAACCAATCAAATGCTTTCTTGAGTTTAGGTTCAATTTTAATTTATAAATTAAAGATGGGGGTAATTTGGTAATTTAAACTTTTGTAACCCCCTAATAATTAATTGGGGGTTACAAATCTTTAAGGATACATCTAATTAATTATGAGATTTTTATGATTTTTTTTTTTGATGTTCATGTTCTTTATTTCAATTGATGTTCTACATATATTGAAATTGGTTTGCTAATTGTAGAATATTTTCGTTTCGTTCAAGGTAAATGGAGAATCCTATTGTAAAACAACTTTAGGTTAATGTAAACGACAAACTTAATTCCGGATATGAGTACGGTCGAAACACGATTCCCGATGATGAAGAAGATGATCAAAGCGTTCCGATTGGTAAGTGGTTACTATTTCTTCTATATTGTTTAAATGAACAACCATTACCTTTGTTGTATATTAAATATGCTTTGCAATATGGTTGAAATCGTCCAAGAATCTGATGCAATATACGGGCCTACATATGTTCAAAAAACATACTACAAAATATGAAACAATGGAAGTAGATAATAAGACATACAAATTGAACAGCACCTATGTGAAATTAGCAGCATGAACATACTGCAATCGCCCCCGTATAAAATGAACCTAATGATTATTGAGTACGATATTTAGAACATACGAGTGCATAACATTTTTTGGTGCATCCATGTTTTCCACTAAGATGATTCTATGTGTTGACCAACATCAGACAGAATATGGTGTGGTGTTTTTCGAAAAGCAAGGATCAACATGCAGCAGATGTGAACAACAGATTGAAGTATATTTCTTCAAATCTGAACATGTGTTCGACTTTGTACATTGCAAGACATAATCGATGTTCACACGAACATTCGGACGATTATACGGTGCATATCATTCTCACTGCATCCATGTTTCCATTTGTTCATGTGATCAGCGGGTGTGTTCGCTTACACATTAAAATGTTGTGTTCGTTCACACAGGTGTGATTCACATAGATACGCATGGCCGACATATGAACATAAGTTGTCCATGTGATCATAGTTGCATATGTTCGTCGAGCACACCTCTATGTGAATGTACGAACACGAGGGTGATCATAATGTGCATAACATTTTCAATGCCTCCATGTTCCATGTGTTCATGTGATCAGCGTCTGTGTACGTTTACCCATTAGGATGTTGTGATTGTTCACACAGGTGCTGTTCTAAAGAAGCATTAGGATGCTGTGTTCATACATTCGTTCACACAGGTGCTGATCACACGAACACATACCCATTAGGATTCTATGTTTGTACATTTGTTCATGACTGCTTTATATTCGTCGCGCACATCATCTGTGTTAACATATTCACAACGTCAAGCGATGCAGATGTGTTCACATGTTGTTGCTATGTCATGTCGTTGTTCATATGGATGCATATCCCACGTACTTTTATCATTTTTTCACATATTATTCAAAACAAAAGGTAGTTGCATATTACCTCAAGCTCTTTTCTTTATGATATAAGTCACCATGTCATGCATCATGCTGTACCTGTAACATATGAAGACTTATCAGATTACATTACCTACCTATATACAGTAGTAATAAGGAGGTATGTTCGACAAATCAATTAAGATTTTTTTTTCAAGTTGTTTGTAGTTTATCTTTACCTACCTGCTTGTGTATCTGGTAGATTCAATTATTGTTATACCAACGTTAATACCACAGTCTAACTTCTTTTTCCCATCAGATCTTGATAGCATAACTTCTTCACAACAAGAAGTTGATAATGACATAGAAGAGAGTTCAGAAGGAATACAGTTTTTTATCCCGAAGGTAGATGACGCGCTTAAGCCAAATATGAAATCACAATATGCGACTATAAATGAAGTTGAAAAGATGTACATGGCTTATGCAGACAACGCCGGCTTTGATGTTCGCATGCATGTAAAAAAGACGAACAAACATGGTGAAATTCAAACTAGGTGGTTTGTCTGCAGTAGGGAGGGAAACCCAAAAAAGAAGGAGTTTGATTCGTTGTACATGCAGCCGGGTGAGAGGAGATACCGTAATACAAACATCAAACGTTGTGGTTGTAATGCTTGCATAAAAATCCATTTGACTAAGGATAGGGCTTGTTACGAGATATATGAGTTTGTTGAGGCACATAACCATGCATTGTTCAATATTAACGATCGTCGTTTCTCTCGGAAGAATAGACAGATGAAGTATACATATTTCAAAACTGTTTTAAATAGCTCGAGTTACAAAGTCGGTGCGAGGAGGGCTCACCGTATTCAAACCGCATTGAACGGTGGATTTGAGCATACTCGCATCTCTGAAATTGACTTCAAGAATTTCAAGAGGGATGCTGTTGCTTGTGTTGCGAATAAGGACGCGACGATGTTGATCAATAAACCATCAAACAGACGTGATGTTGTCCCCGGTTTTTTTTTGAATACAAATGTAATGATCAGGAGTTGAGCAGAATTTTCTGGGCGGATGAAGTTGCTAGAATTAACTACAAAGAATTCGGTGATGTCATATCGTTCGATGGTACATTTCGCACTAACAAGTAAGATCACCAATTGCAATTTAGTTATTTAAAGTTGATAAGATTTGATATTTCTAACGGACATATGATGTGGCTACGATTATATACTCATATTTTTTTATTTGTATTCCAGGCATGCAATGATTTTTGTTCCTTTCTTGGCTGTTGACAACCATAAGTCGTTTGTTGTTGTTGGATCCGCTCTCATAAGTGTAGAGACGATTGATAACTTTACGTGGGTTCTAAAGGCCTTTCTGAAGTGTCATGCGAAGCAACCGGTGTTCGTAATTACAGATCAATGTTCTGCAATGAAACAAGCTATTCCAAAGGTGTTCACCGAATCCAAGCATCGACTATGTATGTGGCACATTATGAAGAAGGTCCCTTCAAAAGTAAGTAGTATATATTCGCTGCTATCTAATTTATTGCGTTTTTTGTGTTATTCTTTCATATGTAGAAGCTTCGTTGACGCAGGTTAGTGTTGCACTAAATCATGATACTACGTTCAATAAAGTCATCAACAAGCTCGTATGGAACATTCATATTGGCCCAACGGAGTTCGAACGCCGTTGGAATAAGATGGTAGATAAATACAATCTAGCGGGGGATACTTGGTTTACAGAGATGTATGAAATCCGACACTCGTGGATTCCTACCTACTACAAGAACATGCCGATGTCTGGTCTAATGAAAACAACCTCAAGATCCGAGAGTTCGAATTTGTATATCAACATATACGAATCGTACTGGTTTGATTTGGTGCAATTCCTTAATAATTACGACGTAGCTATAGAAAAACAAAGATACAGACAATCTATTCACGAATCAGTGACAAGAACGACTAATCCCAAGTTTCTTACTCCATTGCGCATAGAAAGGCATGCATCAAGCATATACAGTCGGAACGTGTTTTTTGACATCCAAAAGGAAATAAAGAAGGTTGTTTGATTTTGTGCTATTGAGACCGTGGAATGCCGGGATGATTTCAAGTCATTCCTGATAAGCCAGACGACCAAGAAATCAGATGACAACATCTCGTATTTGGTATACTATCCCTAACTCGCAACACAATGGATTATATTATATTTATTGTTTTCTTGACTGATGTTGTTGGAAACTTCTTTCATGACAGGTGGGTTGTAATTACTCAACAAACACAGTCGAGTGCGATTGTAACCTATTTACACGTAATGGGTATCTCTGTCGTCACGCGTTCAAGGTACTAATAAATGACGAAGTTGAACGCATTCCGGAAAAATACGTATTACGTCGATGGAAACGAGAGTTAGTTCCAGTACAGATTCAGTCCGCAAGAGTTCGTTATGGGGAGGTCAACGTCGAGAAAGAAAAGTCTATAAGTGAATTATATTCCAAGATGGATGACATAATAAGCATCGCCCGCAATGATCAATCTATATTGGATAGATTGGGGCGTAACCTTGAAGAATTCATGGTTGATATAGAGAAGGAAGTTCCATACGAAGACCCATCACAACAAAAGTTGGATGCGATTAGAGATCATTTAGGTGTTTCCATACCTGATGAGATGGACATTCTACCACCATCTGGAATAAGGAACAAAGGTTGTGGAACTGGCAAGAGGCTGGTAAGTGTATCTGAGAAAATGCAAACTAATTGCAAAAAGGCTAAACAAAAATGTGCAACGTGTGGACAACGTAGTGGTCATGACTCCCGTAATTGCCCAGAATTGATAGATTAGTTAGATGGCAAGTATTTAGAGTTCTTATCGTTTTGTTCTAATAGGTCGGCTTCATCGAAACATGTTGTTCATGTGGCTTTATTTGTTAAACAGCTTGAACTTGATCTCAGTGTTTTGATTGAATAAATTGTTGATGCTATTTCATAGTGCCATTAGTGTTATTGATACGTTATGTACATTTTGTATTGTGTTTTTTATATTTCCTATACGGTTTCACCAACTTCTCGGGGATGGTAGTATCCCCGTTTTAATGAATATGTTTACTACATTGAAACACGAAGTCGGGAAAAGGTATGTGTTCATTATGTTTCTAACATGTAGCGCGCCCACGGATACAATATATGAAATTTAGATGCAATTCACGATATTACACAAAATATATAACATGTTTGTCAATGCAAAATTTTAACCTTATTGGAACGATCATTTTATGTAGACAACATAAAAACATCATAATGCGACAACACAGTGCACATTAGAAGGATATTGGTTTGCATGATGCATATATCATGTTTGATGTTTCATGCATATATCAATATTTATGAAGAATTAATATTCTTCTCGGAATGATCATTATACATCTCATCATATTTGTAAGTCAAATCATGATGCAGAGTAATCAAAATGCGTGATTTTGCTATACCGATGTTACGAGATAAAGCTGCATGTATATTTAAAGGGTTGTAAACAAAAAATAAAGTTCAGAACGAACCTGACATGATGATACAAGTTCATGTTATGCTAGATAGTATCAACACGTCCATCCACATGTTAAATGACATGCAATGTCACACATCCCCAGTTGCACTCCCACGCATCCCTATGAGTTCAACGCGCGTCCCTGTTGATGGTCACAGAACGGTCCACGGAAAATAGTGATCAGTTAAAACTGCCATAAGTTGTGTGAATATGTAGGTGTCAGTATACCAATATATACAAAAAGTCATGTCGTTGTTCATTTGAACGTGTTTAGTAACATCAATTGTCATGTATATGCGTTCACGAACAGATAAGTTTTGGTTTAACCAACACACCTCCGGATGAAGGACCAAACATCTTGTATATGTCAAAATCAAACATGGCTGCTTCATCTATAAAACGAATAAATATCAACATATGGTCATGACATATAGATCATGCACATGTGCACATTCAGACAAATACTACATTATCGGTATGGTCACTACTGCTGATCCATCTTATTCGCATATAAAATATTAATTTATCACATTCACTTTCAAACAAAAACAGCAGGTTATATCATGTTCATGACCAAAATCCATGTTATACGCATAGAAGATACTAAAGCATTAAACAAAAAACTGAGATATCCATGTTGCAAGACCGAATACAAGTGCCATCTACACCTTCCCTCAACCAATTCGTATATTTCCACGTGTCTTCTTGGCGTTGTACAATGTTTCCATTGAAATGAAGCGCTCGACGTCCTTGATGATCGAAGCCTTACGGATGTTCTCTTCACTCAAAAGGATTTTCGCGCAGTATTTAGTCCGGAGATCCTTAAGCTGTCGTTTCTGCTTTGTACTCTCTTTGTAAAGGCCGCAGTCCCACTTCCCCCCATCGGCACCAAAATACGTCTCCATGTGTCGTATCATCATTACCCCACAATCAATCGAACTCTCATGTGACTGCCACCGAGTCCTGATTTGCTCCTGATCCATCTCCGCATAAATTTTTTCGGCATCGTGGCCCTCTCTCATAAGATGAAATATCATCATATCTTGCTGAATAAATTATCATGTTGACAGAATAATTAAGGAATCATGTGTCATGTATAATATTAGTAATAACAATGTATACTTACCAATACGACCGTACTATCTCCATATATATCTTCAAGGTTGCCATCCCGATCCCTTGAGTCAATTATAGCGATTGAAGGCCGTTTCAAGTCGAAAACAACTATGTAGTATAATGCTTCCTCTACGACCGGGAAGAATACCTGTAATCATAAATACGTAAGATACAGTCGACAACTACATTATTTTTAAGCACGGTACGCTGATATTAGAAACGCATGTTATATACATACCATGTCAACGCTGCGCATACTAATGATCTCCTTATCATTGTTTGCTGAACTTGAAAGGTTTTTTTTGAAAATCTCGTATCTTTCGTGCACATCTAGAGAAAGGTTCCTCATTATACCATCCATCTGCATACAAAACAACACCATTAATGGATTTGTATATAGTGCATGTTCTGTATTCGTAGCGGAAATATTGGCTTCTTTATTTATTTTACCGAAACATTTGTGTGACAAAAATAGTGTCGCGGAGAGTCATTGCTCCGCAATCTTTCATCCTTGTTTAGCACTGCTGACCACCCGTCTAACACATCTCGACAAACCATGGATTGGGATGCAAGAGATTGCAATTAGTCTTCTTCCACACGGGGATACGAAAACAGGTTCTCTGGGTATTAACATGTAAACATTATGCAAACTGATGTATTTAGACAATAAAGTAAAAAGCATGAACTATGAAAATGTAAGGTACAACTTACAGTAACCCTCCGATAGCCCTTAAGATCCAATCTTGTAGCATACGCTCGTCATTTGTTACGTCGAATGAAACAGAACGTGTGATATAAGGTGATTGTAGCTTGAAGCTCAACTTCGGATCCCTCTTCGACAAGGTCAGCCTCGGACACTCCTTCATTGCTACTGTATTCACCGTATCCACAACATCAACTACCTGTTTCCCTGATGGACTTATCCCAAAATCAAATGTCGGTGGCTCGATTCCTCCACCCAAAGCAATTGATTTGTCGCTGATTCTCGCTCGTTTAAAAATATTACTTGTCTTATTCTCAGTCTGATCACTATTTCTACTCCGTACGCTTCCAACTTGCTGCACCTGCGGCTGTATTGTATGAATCCCATCAGCTTCCTTCTGAACAGACCGCGTATATCTCCTGTTTTCCTTTGACAGCTGCATCGTTTTCTCGTTGGATGCCCTATCCACCTCTGTAATAACCGTTGGACTAGTCCAGAATTGCGACAGCGGCGACAACAAGTCTGGATCCGGTATTATGGCCATCTTCGTAGGAGTTACTTCAACGATTGCCCGGTTAGGGACTTGGCACACCGTTGGGTTTGCATCATCCGTACCCACGGTTGTTCGTGTATCCCATCTGCTCCCTTTAAACAATGCTGCTAATTGTCCTTTGAAGCTGTCAAAATCTATATCATCCGGGAATTGTTCAACAAATGCTTCCAGCAATAAGTCTGCCTCTACTCTTTGAGAGCACAACTCCGCAATCTTTTCCCCCATGATCCTCATACATTCCTTAGGAAAACAAAAAACAATGAGTAAAACAATACATATTATGTGTAAGATCTACGCAACATATTTTCACATATCTAAATTGATATGTCGTTTTGGTAGGTTAATGTCCATATAATGTTGGTGTGCATGTGAAACGGGCTAAATAGGTGAACATCATGTGTACATAAATGGTCAACGTTTTAAAAAATAAAAAACTATCTCATTTTATTAACCAACCAATGAACATAGGTGAACTTTAGAGCTCTCTTTTGGGGCATGAACTTAAAGTACAAAGCAAAGAGATGGAGAAACATGTATTTAATGATGAACATGAGTACCGAGTAGGACGAGGAAGATTGTGCAATAGCTAAGCTGAAATGGTGGATCATCATAGTGGAAACTACTGTTGCTACTAAACAAGTGACCAGGTTATTAGGATTTGAAAGTTTTGTTTAACTCAACAGCTCTAACAATTACTAAACATCTTCAAAGTAGTTGTATCAGTTTTTAATTTGTAGGAAATCAATTCTGCCTAACTTGATAAGTTCTCTTATTATTCACCAATTATTTTCCAGCTTCATATGAAACTGCTACCTAAGGTTGACTACCCATTTTTTCCCTTCTTCTGCCCTTTACGTTAGAAGACATGATCAGAAAACTATACCTCCCAATACCATAATTCAGTGATACATCCTTAGTCCCTATAGCATTTACCATAATCTACAAGGAGCATTTGGAACAGATCAAGTTATAAACTCTGCTTTATATGCATCAAAACCTAATCCAGATTTTCCGTTCCTTGGATCTGGCCACTGCTCCAGTACTGGCTCAGGCCAGAAATCTGGGCATAATTGTATGGGAGGTGAGATGGCAGGGTTATTTTGGCAACCCAGCAGGGGTCAGTGTATTATCCACTTCCTAGTCCCAAAATGACAAGTCAAGGCCCTAGCTCTAGAATCCATAGTGGTGCTGTCACACCACTTCATCCAAGACTCGGAGGGGTAGCCATTGAGGGCCAGAATAACCGACCAGAAGATGTAAAACAGAAAAGTCACAGGTTACCGCTCGATATCAAGCCCCTAAATAGGCTTAGTTTCCTGGAAGAAAGCGAACAATAATGAATATGGTTTGTTGTCTCACCGATAAGGGCATTTCAAAAACATTATCGCATGAAAATGTAAAAAATAGGCTACTTTCGTCCTAAGAAGAAGCATGCTCTAATAACATATCAGTCAGAGAGTCCAAAAATGCGAATCCAACATATGCTGTAATGTGGTACTAGTTGCGTTTGGCAGAATCGCGGATACAGAATGACATATATATAGGTTATTATTTCATTTGTATGCAACAATATTTCATTAACTGTAACATTTTATAAGTTACCTGCTTATTCCTTTGTGCGTCTTTTGCTTGATGTCTTCGACTAGATCCAGCCTCATTTTTTCTGCCGTACCACCAACAACATTTGTGTCGCATGCACCATGCCCGACATTGTCCTTATGTTTCATCGTAACACATCCAAGTCCGCCACTCCTAATCTCCAACTCTTGCCGTTTACGGAGCAGTTCCATTGTCCAAGACCTAATGGGCGGTGCATCTTTTGATACTTGGATCTGTTCGCATTTTGTAGACTGTACATACAACAACTACAAGGTATGAAAAATTATTAGCTTTTTCGTGTTATTCGTATTTCTCTTTTAATTAAAATCT